TTTATATTTTGTTCAATTCTAGGTAGGTTGTATATTATCTCACATGTGCTAACATTTGTATTTCTTCTATGGTAAATTACCTGCTCATCTTTTTTCTCCCCCTGCCTTTGTTTTTGTATATATCCAAAAATATACACCAGATAATTTAGATAAAATACATGGTATGTCTATAAAATAAAATTATATGAAACTATAAGAAAGAATGAGTAGATCATTCAGTGACATGGAAAACTATCCTTGACATGTTGAAATAGGACTTAGCTATTATTCAAGAAGAAAAAGATAAACCCATCAACCCACCCTCCCCTAAAAACAGGTTCTTCTGAAATCCTTAAAATATCTAAATGCCTGTGACATATGACTAAATTTCATTAGTATCTAGTAGACGATGCTAAGCCTTCCTTAAATAATTAAAATGAGATGATTTTCTGTGTCCCTGTGGAAAACAAAATTTAAAAAAGCAAAATAGTTCTATATAAAATGATACAAATAAGCAATCACTAGGTTTCTTAAAGCAATAACATGGAAAGTGCTTCGATTTTTCTGGGCCTTGGTTTCTTTTTTTTTTGTAGGTTCCTTCTGTGATTCTTCTGGTCTCCTGCTTTAATTCCTTGTGAAACTTGTTCCTGGAATTTTCATTCTCTCACCCTTTCAAAGTAAGTAACTCTCACGCTTAGTCACCAAATTTGTTGAGTCTTTGATAAACTGGCATAAAACACACAGTTTAAACACACACTCTCTCTTTGTCAGAATAAATAAATAAACATTTAAAAAAAGAATCTAACTTCTTTAGATATATAAAAGTCTGTAGATAAACAAAGGTGATATTTGGAGATTTGTCAGCTTGGCTTCTGCTTATCTCTCATTTGGTTAAGAATTTAGAAGGAATGTTTTGTATAGAAGTCGTTTATGTGACTTGTCATGCATTTCTGCCCAGAGTTGCACATACAAAACCATAGGGAGCTTAGTTGGCTTGTACTGCATATCTAGCCTTGGGATCAGAACTGGCCTCTCTGTTCCTGATGCCAACAGGAATTAACTTGCCTCACCTCCTTGAGCCAGACCTGGCTGGCCCTCTACAATGGATGGGGAAGGAAAGAGGAATATGCAGAGGCCCAGGTTCCCAAGATTGTGTGATTCCCTAAGAGAAACAGAAAAACCACCTGGCTTGGGACTGCACTTCGGCAAACTTCATGACTAACACAAGGGTAGTATATATATTTTCCTGGTGAGAATAACTAGTTCAAAGTGTCACCTGAGGGGAGGACAGTCTGCCTAGGAGCCTCAATGGGGACTCCAGCCGGGCTATTCACTGCTGGGTTTCCCCAGCCAGAAGGTTGGATGTAACTGCCCGATTTGATGTATTAAGGCTTCTTGGCTCTTCTATATCTCTCTCCCTCTGTATGTTTACTAAAATTGTTTAATTCCTTATATTCCCTTTCCCTTATAATGAATAAAGTTTTCCTCCACAAACTGAAAGTGTGGCTATAGTGAATTGTTATTATTCAAAACAAGGAAGGGCATGCTGTTAATTGAATCAAGTTTTGTCCTAACATCTGTTACATTAGTTGTGAATTGTTACAAATAATTGAAGGGATAATATATAGATGGAAGGATTGAAGCTTCTTTCTGTTGTTGCCAGGACAGGTAACTTAGGAATTATTGGTCCCATAGTGAGTACAGTCTTTAAGCATCTTTGATCTGTGTATTCTGCAGGTTTCTGTGTCATACAATACGATTATTGTTTTTAAGTTCCGAGGCTCCGGCATGTGGCACTACAACTAAAATTGCATGGAGTCTGATCTTGCCAACTTGCTACTAATTACAAAACCATTACTTATGGGCTGCTGTCTGTTTGACCATGGACCTGAAGCAAATGCATGGGCCACAAAAAATAGACATGTTTCAATAAAACGTAGGGGCTTAGCAAAAGTGGGACTCTGGATGTCGGCTGTTGCAATTTGACCCCAGCAAGGAAGATGCTGGCCAGGCTGGTAGAGTCCACCTTGGAGACAGACACACATTTCTGAAGGGATTCAGGAAAGGTACCATCCTGATGATGATGGGGCAGGGTGCTGCAGTTTGAATTTGCGCTTTGTAGGCTTATCTTCCCCGGTTTGTGCAATGATTCTGCTACATCGAAAACCTTGTTTCTTCACGTACAGCCTTTTAGACATGAGAAATGAACAAATATGTGCCCCCGTTTCTGTGTTCTTTGCCTGGCTCTCAACCTGGACTTTGAACTACTAAATGCTATGCATGTCTACCAAGCTTCTAGCTTCAAATCATCCGTGATAGGTCCAAGCAAGCAGTGCTACATCAGCTATGCAAATTCTGTTTCTTTTTCGTCAGGACATTTTGAAGTACCTTAAGGGTCAAGAGAAAGAATTCTAGGGAGATTAGTCCTCCAACTCAAGAGGCATCGTCAAAGTATATGGTCACACAACATACACACATGAAATTTAATTACTTTTGGCTTCACTATGGCTTGGTATTTTTGTGGTACACGTTAGTTCCATGGTGCAAGAGCAGTATATTTAATGAATCAGCAATTTTAAAAGTGTTGCGTTCTTATTATAAAGGTTGTATGCCCTGTCCTGAGTAAACACACAGAAACAACTCAATAAATTGTATTTAAGGTGCAAAGACTAAAAAGGCAATTTCAAAGGCTTGTAGCGACTTGAGGTTGTTTGTATCTAGGAAACAGGTTTGAAAAAGTTATCTATGCCCATGTTTGGGAAAAAAGAGGTCCAGTAGTGTGACGTTGAAGGATGTCAGTCTCAAAATGGCATAAGGTCACAAAGGAAGTGAACAGTAGCTGTAGGAAGTATAGAACAACCTTCCTGAACAGAATGACGAAATTTGAATTTTTGAAATAAGTTACTGTTTTGTTGGGAATGTCAGAAATATCTTAATGCAAAAACCTAGTAAAAGACCAAACAGTCTGCACTAAATTGAGTATTTTACACGTGCTGTGTGTTCCTTAAACGCTCAGTCATGCAGCAATGAAGAAGACAAAGGCCCTATCCTTTAGGATTCTATATTCTCATGTATAAATTCCATAAGTAGAATGGGATTCTGACAAGTTATAAATGAAATGTTTATTGGAACTATAATTGACCAAAGAAAAGGAAAAAAAAAAAAAACAATAGAAATGAATGGTAAAGGACAGATTAGAATTTGGGATCAATGGCAGTCTCCTTGTAAACATTTATTAGAGCATACTAACGGGCCATCGCTGGTTGGAAACTGATCATCAGGCTGATATTTCTTAAGATGAACTTTCCCTTAAGCTTGTAATATTCTCAAAACACATTTGCATAAAAAATAAATATAAATAATGGCAGACTACCACTAAGAAATATTGTAATCTTCTTTGAAAATGCTGGCTTTCAGAAAAATATGGAATTGGAATTATTATCTCTATAGCCCAGGTTATAGGAGACTTAAATTTTGTGGAGTTTAATTTCTAATTGAAGGAATACCTGTGGTATGACAAGCCCTGTGTACGTCTCTAAGAACACAACATTGATGAGACACTTTGGCTGTTCTCAAAGAGCTCAAAGCATTATGGGAGGGTAAAAAGTACACCCAAAGTTTCTAACAGTATGTTATATGTTATGATAGAGGTCTAGAGAGGATGCTGTCATGGAGAGTCTTGATTACATGCATAGTATTTTCTAATTTATTACAAATAAAACCAGAAATAGTAGTATGGATATTTGATAACAGGTAAGGTATAGACACTGACAAATCAGACAATTCCTGAGGACACCCTGGGGCAAGCCTGATGCATGTCAACACCGGCTGTAAGTCATGGGCTACCATAATAACTTTTTGTCCGAAAGAGTAAGGTTTTAAGATCAATAGTGGGGAACACGGTAACTATTCTATATAGTGTAACTAAAGGAAATGCTGAGCACAAAGAAGATGAGAGGCAAATATCCATCAGCTGTGAATATTAGGTATAAATTGACGATACTGACTCCAGCAAGTAGCAGTGTCTTCAAAATTGTGCGGACGTGAGGATCCCATTGCGTTTAAACTCCCGTAATTCAATATGCTAGTGAAAAAGCATAACTCATTGCCAAAATATACTGGCTCACCACTTTCATGACATAATATTATTACTTAAAAGAATCCTCAAACTTGAATTATATATTCCCAGTGCATAACTTTTTCAATAAATGTGATTTTGTTATGTCTATAGTCTAAAGTATATATTACTGAGGATTTTCAAGGGAATAAATATGAAATAATTTCAACTGTAAGCCAATCACCTGAAACACAAGCATTTTATTTTTATTTTATTTTAGGTTTATTTATTTTTGAGAGAGAGCAAGCAAGGGGAGGGCGTGCAGAGAGAGAGGGAGACACAGAATCCGAAGCAGGTTCTAGGTTCTGAGCTGTCAGCACAGAGCCCAACGTGGGGCTTCAACCCATGAACCATGAAATCATGACCAGAACCAAAGTCAGATGCTCAACTGACCGAGCCACCCAGGTGCCCTGAAACACAAGCATTTTAAATCTCTACTCATTAATACTTCATCAAGTTTCTCTTGCATCATGTCTTTTTTGAAAACTTTGCTGGTTTGTTTGCTTGTTGACTTTGCTTCATAATGTAGGCAGTGGGTTTTAATGAATGGATGTTGGATTCATAATCTGACTCACCATGACCAATTTAGTAACTTTAAGTAGTTGCTTGACCAATATATGCTTTAAGTTTCTCCATCTACAAAATAGGGATACTGGCAGCAAACATTAGAAATGTTTTGCTATTAAAAACGATAAGTAAGACTCAGTGTGTGAAGGTGCATAGTTAAGTGTCAAATAGTAGCTAAAAGTTATCCCTAAGACTGTTTAAAAGAGCTTTTTGCAAGGATTTAAAAAATGGCGCTTACCAAAATTATTTGCATTTGTTAACATTTAGTATTTCTTAGGTTTCATTTCTGCAACATAAACAATTGTTATAAGGAAGAAAAAAATCCCTCAGGGCTTACATCTTGAAGGTTTGTTGTGAACGCACCCACACAAAATAATTCTCCTCACTTAGAAAAGCTTGTGAAGATTAATGAGTTGTTTCTGTGGGTTCAAGTTTTCCACATGCACAGAGTCCACTACGGTGATGTAATTAATTTCACAACACCAGGGTTTTGTCATCCAACATTCCCGTGCCATGCAGCTATGATAAGTATTCTTTAATTAAACCTCAAAATTTGCCAGTGATGTTACTTAGTGCAGCTGGAGTACAAATACACCTCTGTGGACCCAAAGGTTTTAATATGCAGCTGGGAAGCTTGATAATAGAACGTTTACATGAAAGCCTTCTGAGTTGGTGTCCAAAGGTTTTAAAACTTTTCATAAATCCTTATATCGAAGGAAACAAAAATAAGAAGGGGTTTAATGAACTTGCATTTCTGGTTATAACAGGGGACAAGGTAGGCTCCCAGGTAAGGTGGGATGAACAACCTACTTTTGTGATTCTCTTGCCCCCCTACCCCCACCCCCCAATTGGTTTTAAAATCAGCAAGTTCCTAGAGCATCATGTTGCTGTGAATACAGCTAAGAATCATCTTTCTTTTAAGACTTGTTTGCAAAGGAACAGTCCAAATAAGGTTGGTTTAATAGGATGTTGCTTGTTCTAGCTCTATTAATTTAGGAAGTATAGGGGCGCCTGGGTGGTGCAATCGGTTAAGCGTCCGACTTCAGCCAGGTCACGATCTCGCGGTCCATGAGTTCGAGCCCCGCGTTGGGCTCTGGGCCGATGGCTCAGAGCCTGGAGCCTGTTTCCGATTCTGTGTCTCCCTCTCTCTCTGCCCCTCCCCCGTTCATGCTCTGTCTCTCTCTGTCCCAAAAATAAATAAAAAACGTTGAAAAAAAAATTAAAAAATTTAGGAAGTATATAGTCTGTGTCTGGCTTGGACTGTTGCACTGGGTGTTTCAGTCATGATTCAGTAACAAAATGAATATGCATATTCATTTGAAAGTTCAACAATGAGTGTGATTTGTCTTGTTCTTTGATTCAGAATTTAGTTCAAAACTCAACAAGTTGATAAAAATTAGGGTAAAGTAATGCAGTCTAGTTCAATGGACAAGGGCACAGGTTCCCATCTCCATCAATTATTAGTTATGTAATCTTAGATAAACTACTAAAAATCCCTTCTTTTTAGTTTATCTTTGAAATGAAAATAATAATCATATTTATTTCATAGAGTTGTTATGAAGATTAAAATACATAATAAAAAGTGCTTAGTCAAGTGGGTACAGAGCAGACATGCTATTAATGGTAATGATAAGCATTTAAATGATAAGTAATGCTGAAAGTGGTAAGTGATGGGGTTTTGGAGTCATGGGGGTCCAGAGCTGAAGGCCAAGAAAGACTTGTTGAGACATTTTTGGTGCAAAAAAAAAAAAAAAAAAAAAAAAAAAAAAGGTGATTTTATTAAAGCACTGGGACAGGATCCTTGGGCAGAAAGGGTTATCCTGGGGTTGTAAAGAGTGACTGGTTATATACTATGGAGTTGGGAGAGACAAAGTCAAGAAGTTTCTTAAAGGGCTTTCCATATGCTAAAGACTCACAGATTACTGGAAGCCTACTTATTGTCAACCTAAGGTTGTTTTTCCTCTAGCAAAGCATTGTCATTAAGATATTAGGGAGTTCTTGGAGATTAGGCTATTGATAAGATTGCCCTTTTCTTGTAAAATTCCCAAAATGTTTGTAAACTGATGGAGACTCTATCAGTTTACCCATTTGTTTTCTGTCCTTTCCTTTGTTCTTGGGCAGCCAAGATATCACACATATCCCACTTGTGCGGTGGTAGGGGGGCAGATGGGTTGGGGGATTGTTAGCTTGCACTGCCCTCAGCTTGTCTTATGTTCCCTTGTCAGTAAGTAGGGATAGCACTAAGCTGAACTGCAAACAACTTTGTATGAATCCAATATATTGAGAAAATGGTAAAATCTGCTAAAAAGTTGTATTGCCATCCTGGATACACTAGAGAAAGACAAAATGAAGGGCAGCTTTTTTTGTCCTCATACACCTTAGTTCCTTTGCCTCAGGACACTGTTGTTCCTAGATAGTGAATTCTAGGCTCTTTGAAGGGAATTATGCTGGGAAGGAGATGCGCTAGATCTGCAGATGCTTGTTTGTAAAGAGGGATGGGTACAAGGTGCTTACTGGCAGAAATTTTGGAGGATAAATTTCAGTTGTTCCTGAAGGCCAGGAAGAAAGATTAGATTTCTGCAGGCCCCTGAAATAGTGGAAATCCATGATGCCACCTCTGGAGGCTGAGAACTTGGTGTAGTGTCTCCCATTGAAGACAAAAATACTTACATCCAAACTGGACATGTGTCCAATAGAACTGCTGTCTGCAATGAAATTTACACATAAAGCATCACAGCGATGACTAGTGGGAGACAAAGACCTGTTTTGCCTTTTAAAAATATCTGGATTTTATAATAGCATAACCTTACAGAGACCCTAAAATAACTGAGAGTGAGCCTTGGAAAATCAAAGCAAGCAAAAGAAATGAAGCCAACCCAGGTCCCAAAAGAAATGGGGCTCAGATTCTATTTCCTTCTTTTCCTGCAACAATCAGGATCCTAGAAGGGAAGAAAAAAGACAGGCAACGACAACAGAAATGGTGACTGCCTTCTGCTCTCTGAGTTCCTTGTTCCTGAGGTCATGATTAGTTGGGTGACCTCAAGGATGAGAAAAACGTATATGAAATTTTGGGACAGAGGATGATCTAGCAAGAATGTGTATTTATTTAGTTGACATTAAGCCAAAGATCTTTGTTCTTCAAATTGTTTAATGCCAACTAAACACTTCTCCGGAGTTAAAAATTGTTTCCTCCTAGGCTAAACATTCTGGGTTTTAAGAAAGTATTTCTGAATAAGGAAACTTTCCAAGTGAAACTCTCTTATAAAAAGGAAGTGAAATTACTTTTTATGTATACTGCCCTTAGATATCCTTCGGAGACTGTCATTCCCACAGCTCTGTCAGCTTTCATGTGAAAATTAATTGTCTTGGAGAAAATCTGGCTCAAAATAAAGACCTGGATAATTAGGCACAGGCCTACTCCATGGTTAGGAGAGAACATAGCGATATAGACATTGGAATGGAGGTCATTTTTTTCCCCATGCCCCATTGTCCATCAATAAAAGAGCATGACACAGTAATCTGTTGACATATTAAATCATACGGTGGTCTGCATGGCTGTAGAAGCCTGGAAAACAAAAGAGACAAATTTTATAACATTTACTCAGCTTCTGTTCTCCTGTAGCTCAACATACCAATGCTAGGCTGTAATTTTTTAAAACTTCAGTTTATTGAGGAAAATAATAAGATCTGAGAATATCTGTAGAAACTCAAAGTACCCAAAGATACAAAATAGAAAAGCTAGACTCAATCAGTGTGCACATTTAAGTCTCCGTTGTTAGATTTTTCTGCAACTCAAACTTAACTAAAGCATGAATTTGAGTTGTGGAAAAGGCAGGTAAAATGAAGAAAAGAGAGACAAAAGAATGAGGGTGGGAAGTAAGGCTAAGAGACGCAGAAGATAGAATAAAACAGTATAACATGCGTAGAACTGGGGTCCTAGACCAAAGCTTGAAAGTGGTAGACATTTAAAAATTATATGTTGAATGAATGAATGAAGTGGAAAAGATATGCAGTAGATTGCCATTCAACAAATATTTGTTAAATATTATTTTATTAATGAGTGATTCAAAGACATATATAGTTCTTTGCTTATTAAAAACATATTTTAAAACAAAACAAAACAAAATATTATCATACTCAATGTTTCAGAATAATCATGGGTACTATAGGAAGTTAACTGAGGGTCAGAGATAGGTTCGTAAAAGGCTCTGCGTGTAGTTTTGCTGTAAAACAGTTTATCTGGTCATTATAGTCTTTCATGTAGTCTCTATTTTTATGCCAATATCTTGCCTATTAACAGCATCTTTCTGGAATCTAAAAAGAAGATATTGACAAATCCATGCGCTAGGTATAAGAAATATTATCTCAATAAGAAAGCGAATCTCAACTTTATTCAGGAGAGCTTTTAAAGTAAATCACATTGTTATTTAAATGAATTCAATAAAAACTATTGAATTCATTATAGAAATGTTTATTCCTCCCCATAAAGACAACTCCTAAAGAGTTAGCATTATTTGAAACTGAATGCCTGAACAATATTCATTTCTGATAGTTTAAATCCATAATTTATTTTCCCATGAAGCATACGATTTTCCCCCCACTTCTGGATCAATAGGGCAATATGTCAGCTCCAAATGGTACTTAATTTGCAGTTAGGGCAAGTACCATGTTGCAATAAAACCCCCATTACACAATCCCTGCCTTTTTTCATTCCCATTTCTTTTCCAAAGGATTACAAGAAGAAAACTATGCTCAGCTGATTTCCTCAAATCCATCCCTCGGACAGAAAGACAGGTTGGTCTGAATGATTTTTTCTCTTTCTGCCTCACTCTCTTGTGACCTGACTCTAGCTGCCTGAAAATAGATCAGAGAGTGTATTAAATTAACTTGTGGTATTTTATTTCTGGCTGCTTCAGGAAATAAATTATCAAACCTGAAGTTACCTTACTTTTTTTCCTCTTCTTTTCTTAATATCCTTAAGGAAAATCTTCCTGCAATAGTATTTCAGATGGAAGAGCTTTAAACTCTACCATTGACTTTAAACTTTATTTTGAGATGAGCATCTATCTCCACTTGAATGTATTTGGCCCATTTGTCCAGTTAACATATCGAATTAAACACCATGTATTGAAGACTTAACATATACCAGGCACTTATTGCAACTTTTTAAGATATACTTGCTTATAAGCAAGTCTTTTAATTTCCATTGCAATGCCCTGTAAAAGATTTCAGGTATTCTTAAAATATTTTACCAGTGGAAGAGATGGAGAATCAGGATATCATAGCTTCTAGGTTGTGGGACAAAGAATTGAAAAATGAAATATGGCATTAAAAAAGAGCTTAGCTTTCAGAGATATTCACTCATTTTTACTGAGGAGAAAAATAATGAAATAAATATCT